GTTCCTCATGTTGTGGTGACCCCCAACCATAAAATTATTTTCGTTGCTACTTCATAACTGTAATGTTGCTACTGTTATGAATCGTAATGTAAATATCTGATATGCAGGATGGTCTTAGGCGACCCCTGTGAAAGGGTCGTTCGACCGCCAAAGGGGTCGCGACCCACAGGTTGAGAACCGCTGCTTTAGACTATGGTAAGACCTTTCTATTCTTTCTAAGTGAGATAAGAAGGGTCTTATCCTCCAGCTCTATGACATGCCCATGATTACCCACCATCGCCGTGACCACCTTAACCAACATCACTGCCACCACGACAGGCTCAACACCTGGTGCACCAGACCTCTGCCCCTTCCCTCCCACAGCAGCACAGAGAGCACGATGGTCCTCCTCCCGCCGTTGAGGCAATGTCGGCACCGCCCTCCCCATCACATGGCCCCGTGAGCACTGCTCTGTGAGCCACCAGACCTGGGCCCTCTGCAGGGGCTGGTAGGGTTCAGAAATGGCCCATCCATCCCCGTCATAGCTAAGAATCTGGGGAGGGGGACAGGCGACGCCGTTCCCTCTTCCAGGCTAAGAAATCATTATTACAGCTCAGCCATCACAGCGCCGTTTCCACTGCACTTACTCCCGCTGGCCCCACAGAGCAAGGAGAGAGGCAGGGGATGTGCATGGATTGGCTGTGTCTTTCCACTCGGGGCTGAAGCATCCATTTCCCTGGAGGACGAGGCCCACGTTAAAGAGGTTAAGTGCCCGATGACTCCTTTTATGTCAAAAATAAACACCCGGCGAAGCGGTGGCACTGATAGGCTTCACCCTCAGATCTCAGGAAGCCAACTCCCCATCTCCCTGGAAATCCAAACCAAACAGGCTCTTCTCCTGGTGCAATTCCAGGAGTGGAAGCCGGCCTAATGAGGCAGCCCTCGCACGCTCTCCCCTCCCCTTGGCAGCATTCCTGCCGGAGGAGCTGGATAAATATAGGCCTTAATATTTAAAACCCTGGCCCATTAATCTCCTGGCTCCCTGCCTCCCCAGCTCGCTCTCCATAACTACCCCCCCAATTCATTTTTAAAGCCCAGCTTGATTATGCAGCCAGATAGTAATTTCAGTGACAAATGACAAGTTCAGTCCCTGTCCCAGCCTATATCTCTTGCATGATTTAAGTTCCTGCTCTACTTTTTGGTGAAGTCCAGGTAATTTAGAGCTTGGCTGTATGTTACTGCCCTGTCTTCCTCCTGTTGGACGTGCCATGATCTGTGTATGCAAACTTCAGAAGCCTTCTCAGACACGGCCTGGGAAGGGACTCTAACTTCCGATCACTCTTATTGAGGCCCCTTCTTCCCCAAGGGAATGGTGGTAGGGAAGAGAGACCACTTAGCATTTCTCTAACAGAAGTCCAGAAACTCCTGCTGACATGCGACGGCTTGGGGGGAAGCAGGACGCCTGGTGAGGACGGATTTTAAAACCCTAAGCGTGAATTCCTCCTAGGTGTGCGTGGCAAGTTTGTCTCTATGATCCAACAAACGCAGGTTTCCCCTCAACCGCATCCTTCTCTTATCTCTAATAATAAGACGACGGTGAAGAATTCTGCCTGAATGAGTGGCTTTGTTCCCACCCATCTCTAGTGGTCAGCTTAGTGTAGCAGCATTTCAGGTAAAAACCTGTATCCAGGTAGAGAAGCCATTTTTAGAGAAAGTTGGAGGCACCGGAGAGGACCCTGGGCCTTACAGGGTTGGGTAGCTGGTGGGCCTGACCCTGGGGACACACCTGTGCTGCTCGGCCGGGACGTGCTGAGCTCTCCATTTGCACCATCTCAGGCAGAGCAGCGTCCCACGGGTTCCAGCTTGCCTGTCACACACCTTTCTTTCCCGCTGACCCCTGTCGGCCCTGGAATCGGCTACTTCTGTCCCAAACTGCCTGGGAAGGCCACGCCCTCTCAGCCTTTGTGTTTATAAGTCCCAGGAGACTGGGTGGGTCTGAGACTGACCAGATTCTAGGACACTGTGGCCTAAGGTCTGACTCAGGGGCCAAAAGCCTGGACGTCATGGGCCTGGGGCTGCTCCTGTGCAGGGAGCACTGCCCGCGCCAAGTCCAGGTCTCAGCGCCGTCTTGTGGGACCCTCGTGATGAGTTACGCACACGGCTGGAGGATGCCCTGAGCCAAGTGAAGCCTCAAGTCCTGCTCAGAGCCTCCCAGGTCAAGGAGGAAATGTCACTGGGGAGGTGAAATGACTCAGGACTTTTGGGGAGAAAAATGAGCGTTTGCTGAGGCGTTAGGAATTTGTAACATATGCAGATTTCTTACCCCAACTCCCCAGCCAACCCAGTTAGAGTCTGCCTTTTAATAAACGCCTCCATGACGTTTTTGAGGTTGAGGACCACCGGTCGAGAGTGACCCAGACACCCAGAGTCTGTTCTGGGGCCACCCTGGGTGGGTTGGGAGGGGCCGAGCACGGAGGCAGGCGGGCACCCTCAGCCGTTCCCAGCTGCCTTCCTGTCCAGCGCCGCTGCGAGCCGCTCCATCGCAGTGAGAGCAAGGCCGCTCCAGGTGCCAGCTCTGAGCCTGAACAGCCGCATCCGGCCACTCCCGATCCCCGTTTCCTCACCCCCCAGGGCTGCTGCTTCCTTCCTATGCAGATTTCTTACCCCAACTCCCCAGCCAACCCAGTCAGTCTCTGCCTTTTAATAAACGCCCCCGTGACATTTTTGAGTTTGAGGACCACTGGTCGAGAGTGACCCAGACACCCAGAGTCTGTTCTGGGGCCACCCTGGGTGGGTTGGGAGGGGCCGAGCACGGAGGCAGGCGGGCACCCTCAGCCGTTCCCAGCTGCCTTCCTGTCCAGCGCCGCTGCGAGCCGCTCCATCGCAGTGAGAGCAAGGCCGCTCCAGGTGCCAGCTCTGAGCCTGAACAGCCGCATCCGGCCACTCCCGATCCCCGTTTCCTCACCCCCCAGGGCTGCTGCTTCCTTCCTGCAGAGTTAGGATGAGGACGAAGTGAGCACAGGGTCAGTTCCCACCTGGACTATTCCTTGTCCCCACCACCTCCAAAACCACGAGACACGCACCTAGTGCTGCAGAGGCTGGGGCCAAGTCTCGTTGGGGACTGGAACCCAGGTGGCCCTCACCAGGCTAACACAAGGCTTTCCCACTGGCCACAGAACTCCCTCTGCATGCTAGACGTCTGAGTACCTCGGGGGGACGTCTAGGATCAGGAGAAACAACAGCAATGAAACAGTTGCTCTCAGACCTGAACGCAGACCTTGTGTGCTCGCCTGAAATTCCTTGCTAGGCAGCAGTGCTGAAGGTGAGCGAGCTTAGGATAATCCGGGCATTTGCTTGTTAAGACCCTTAGACAAAAATGGAGCGCCGGAGGAAAGCCGGGGTAAGCCGGCGAGCTCTCAGGCACAATCTGTGGATTTGTCAGAGGCCGTCTTGGCAGCTAAAGGGATAAGCCCACAGTGCTGCCCAAGACGCCTGACCTGTGAAGTGTCTTTCAACCTGCAGGCCTTGGAGACGAGGAGGGGAGGGGAGGGAGCGAGGCTGGTGAGGGGGCGGCAGGGCTCTGAGGCTGTTGGGAGGAGAGAAGCAGGGTAGGATGTGCAGGAGACGGTAGCTCAGAAATCCGCTTCGATGTGCTTTCTTCTTCATATGTATTCCCATCTCCTCCTCGTTGACCCTCCAAGACCCCAGCTAGCCCTCTTCTGCACAAGAGCAAGGACCTATTGATTTGTTTTGTTAGAGGGAAAGAGCGGGAGAGGTTCCTTGTCGCTGAGATTGGAGCATCTCCCTGTCCAGCCATGGGGGCCTGAGGCCATCCCAGAGCCAGTGACCTGAGAGACAGTCTTCCTCCATGAAGAGCCATTAGCAAGAGCTCGAGGCCGGTACGCAGAGGTCACTGGGATGCACAGAGGTCGCTGGGATGCACAGAGGTCCCTGGGATGCACAGAGGTCCCTGGGATGCATAGAGGTCCCTGGGATGCTCAGAGGTCCCTGAGATGCTGGAACACAGCAGCCTCCTGCTCTGCGGAGGCCCCAAAGCCCCTCCACCAGCCAGGCCAGGCCAGCTGCCTTCTCACACAGCCTGCCTCTCGCTCACAGTGTCACAAAGCCTGGACATCATGGGCCTCGGGCTGCTCCTGTGCAGGGAGCACTGCCCGCGCCAAGTCCAGGTCTCAGCGCCGTCTTGTGGGACCCTCATGATGAGTTACGCACACGGCTGGAGGATGCCCTGAGCCAAGTGAAGCCTCAAGTCCTGCTCAGAGCCTCCCAGGTCAAGGAGGAAATGTCACTGGGGAGGTGAAATGACTCAGGACTTTTGGGGAGAAAAATGAGCGTTTGCTGAGGCGTGAGGTAGAACAGGCCACTTAGAGGACCCCTGGCCTGTGTTTGGGTGGGGCCGGTTCTGCTTCATTTGTGCTGTCGTTGTTGTCAGTGTGACCTGGACAAGGCCCTGATTTGACTGGGCGCAGTTTCCCACCTGCCAAAGGAGGGCTTGCCTGTGCAAAGCCCCTCAAGGGCAGGTGCCAGGGGTGGGCGTGCTTTGAAGTCAGGAGAGTGAGATGCATGCAGTACATTCCGTATATTTTGACTTGAATGGTCTTGAAGCCCTTCTCTTGCACTCTGAATAAATAAATTGGTTGGTGAATTAGTTCTCACCGTTTTGAATACCCGAAATGCTCGATTCGCTGTAGGAATGGCCGTTATACCTCTGAGCCACGTTCTCAGACTCTCCGTTCATGTTTTTAGAGACATCAGCAAGAACCAGATATCGGACATCGCTCCCGATGCCTTCCAGGGTCTGAAATCGCTCACTTCGCTGTAAGTGGGGAGTAGTTGCCGGGGATGGGGGGAGGGGTGGGGGGAAATACATCCATCGTTTTCAGGAGGCTTTGTCAAGGCTTTATGTTCCCTTACACACTTGTGGCAGCCTGGTAAGGGAAACAAATATTTCTTCAGGGGAAATTGATCTTGGGGAATATTTCTACAACCCAAATGCATTATTTCTATCGATTAACTGCCCAGCAGCCTTCCCAGTTATTGGCTTTTAATTCCGATGCATCTTCTACTCTAACCACGCTCCCCCTCCCACCCCGCAGGCCTGGGCCGTGCTCTCCGGGGAGGTGGGGAGAGGCTTGTAACAGATGTTTATAACCGATGTTTATTACCCATTGCCCCACGAATGCGGCCTGGTCCAGGGAGGAGCTCATGTTCTTCCCCTGGTTTTCAGACTCTTTCTCCAAACCAGCTCATGGTGTTGGAGGAAGCATCAGCCCCCCACTCCCCACAAGTCCTTCCTTCCTCCGCTTGGGAACCCTAGGGCTGCCCACTGGGTGGAACAGAAGACTTGCCTGTCCTGGGCTCAGAAACCCCCACTCCCACCCTACCCCTGGGCAGGAAGGGGCGGGGCTTTGTCCTGACTGTCAGTGACTCACCCTTGGGCACAGGGGACAGTGATACCTTCCTGCCGAATGCACACTCGGTGACAGTGGTCACAGCAACTAGAACAACCGGCAGCTCTTATTGAGCGCCTGCTGCGTACCAGGTGCTGTGCTAGGAGCCCTGCCGTTCCCTCCTCACAGCACCCTCTAAGACAGACTCCGTCTGAGCTCCACATAGACTGGGGGTTTTATTGTTTCAATCCTGGCTGGATCTCTGGCATGTAGTTATGGTACAAAAGAAACCTCGGTGGACAGACACATGTAATTCATCCAAAGTCCTCCGTAACCAGCGGGAGCAGCTGGATTCGGCCCCAGAATCCACGATCCTCATGCTCTGCTGCCGCGGGGGTGAGGTGAAAAGTAAACAGTGGGACACAGCAAAGGCATCACCGGTCGGTATTGCTTTTGTCCTTGGTGGCCTGCCCACCGGGCAGGAGTGTGGCTGCTCAGAGGCTGGTGCCCACGCTCTGCCTGTTTGCTTCATTAACCAGTGGGCAGGTGAGAAGCTACACAGCTCCCCACCTGGCCCCACCCCACCGAGAACGTGGGAGGTCAGGGAGGTGTCTCCATGCAGCCGTGGCCTTGCTGCTCGCAGAGAAAATTAGCTTCATTTATCAGGTAGGACATCTGGCTGGGATATCAGACAGGACTGCGTGTGAGATTCACGTCTGACGACCACAGAGGAGATGGGAGAGCGGCCCTGTGCCCCCAGGATCCCACCCCTGCCCCACCGGCCTGGTCCCCTGGTCCGGTTTCCCCCTGCCAGGATGTAGGAATAGTCTGAAGACAGCGAGATGCTTCGGTCCTACAGGAAAAGAAATTCAAAGTATGGTTGCCGGACTGAAAATTGGCCTGCCGCTGGCCGATTCTGAACTGTATCGGGGCCCTGTTTAAGGGAATTTCCCCCCCACCCTCACCCCCAGTTTATACATTCACCCCTCAGTGTCACCCTCTGTGCTGAGGAGCAGTGTGGGGACTGAGAAAGGCAGTGACCTGGACAGGCAAGACCTGGGGCCTCGTGGGCTTTCAACACGAACACTCAGTCCAAGCTCAGAGTGGCCACGGGAAAGGTCCGGAAAGCCTTCACCCATCCCTGTCCATTCAGTCCTTCAGCATTGATTGTGCTGGACGCCTGGCCCGTCCTCAGCTCTAGGGCCCAGTCAGGCCACATGGCGTCACCACAGCCTGTCTTCAAGGGCTGGCGGGGAGGCCCAGAATGTTTCTACAGTAAATAAGTATGGGGGTGGGGGGGGTGAGCAGGTTTACAACTGTGAGTATGCAAAACACAGTTTATTCTTATATTATTATTGGTTATTTTCTATACAAACAACTGTAAATCTACTTTTGCCCCACCCTATATATCAGTAATATAACATGATATAATGAGAAGAGAAAAAGCAGTAAAAATAGGGTGACAGGTAGTGAGAAGCAGTAATCAAAATACTCAGGAGAACCTTCCCAGGGAAGAGAGGGCGGGGTCAAGCTGCAGGGCAGGGGTCCTCAAACTTTTTAAACAGGGGGCCAGTTCACTGTCCCTCAGACCGTTGGAGGGCCGGACTATAGTTTAAAAAAAAACTATGAACAAATTCCTATGCACACTGCACATATCTTATTTTGAAGTAAAAAAACCAAAACGGGAACAAATACAATATTTGTATTTGCATGTGGCCCGCGGGCCGTAGTTTGAGGACCCCTGCTGCAGGGTGTGGAGATGGCAGCAGGAAGGGTCCGCACCCAGATGCCACCTGGGGACCCACAGCCCCGTCAGCCTGCAGGGTGTGCTCAGACCCACTAGGCTGGGGGAGGGCCCCCAGGATGCGGGATGGATGATGTGGGGCCCCCTGCCCAGACCCCTGGTCACGCTGCCCACCAGCTCTGCCGTGCGGAAGCTCGGGCATCAGGAGACGAGCAGGCAGTGACATTACGGCATTGGGCACAGTGAGCGGCGGGACGTTAATATGAATTAGAATGTGAGCCTGAGCCATCATGCTGGCTTTTATTTAGTCATTAATTTGTTGAAACATTCATGAGACACACCCGGGGGCCGAGTGAGACGCTCACTCTTCACTCCTAGTGGCGTCTAGAAAACGGGTTTGGTTGCTCTCTCCCATTTACCATCTCCTCATCCTCACATTTTACCTCCTCAAGACACACAGCAGCCTGGATGGGGGGTGAATTGTGTTCATTCAGTGCGCTTCAGGGCCCAAGAGGGAATTTAAAAACACGCACACACCAAACCCTCCTCAGCTCAGTTCCCTCCATCTCAGAGGAGGCCGGGCCCGAGAGGCAGCACGTCTATGCCGTGGGTGAGGCAGAGAGAGGCCCAGGGTCTTCGCGCCTGGGCCGAGGGCCAGCGGGAGCCACGGGGCACCGGCCGGAGTGGAAGACCCAGCAGCCTTCCTCCCAGCTTCCCAAGTCACCAGAGACCAGCCCGTGCCTGGACACCCAGCGTGAGGGCTGAAAGAACCCGGCGTCCTGGGTTCTTGGGGGCTCAGAGGACAGGAGGAGGGCGGAGTGTAGAAGCTGCCATCCCGCCGAGCGAGCTCACAGTTCCTTGTCCCCCCTTTTTCCTGAGAGCCAGCTGGGTGGGGCCCCAGACAGCCAGAGGCCTGTCCAGATGGACTCACAGTTCCTTGTCCCCCCTTTTTCCTGAGAGCCAGTCCCCGACTCAGCAGCCTCTGAGCCAGCTGGGTGGGGCCCCAGACAGCCCGAGGCCTGTCCAGATGGTTGATGGGAGGACTCCGCTCAGGATTCCCAGGATGCGATGGGAGACTGAAAGGAAACGGCCTGTAGGCTGGGCTCAGCCTGATCAATACTGAAGGGGAGCGGACACAGGGCCAGCCAGCCTCCCCCACATCGTAGTTATTGCCGGGGTATGAGTCACATTGGCAGGTCCGGGCGGCACCACAAAGGGACTGCTTCTTCCCACTGGGGGCTGCTTATTGGGCTGGGCTGCCCAGGAGCGAAAGCATAGAGCCCATTTCTCCTCGCCTCCCGGGCAGGCTGTGCCCCCAGCCCAGGTGGCACTTGCGGCCACCTCCCTGGTGACGAGAAGGGATGAGGCGGATGGGGAAGGGGACTCTGACAGCCCTTCCCCCCGAGTGGCGGAGGTGGCAGCCTCCTACATGAGTGGGTCCCGGTGGCCACACATCCACGGTGACCGCCGTCTCTGCGTTCTTTTCCAGGGTGCTGTACGGGAACAAGATCACCGAGATTGCCAAGGGGCTGTTTGACGGGCTGGTGTCCCTGCAGCTGCTGTGAGTAGGAACTGGTTGCTGTGTGTGTGTGTCTGGGACCGTTGGCAGGTTCCGTCCTGCAAACTTGGAGCCTTGCTCCGTAGAGTTCCTCTTTTGACTCTCCACCCACCAACAGGAAAAAATAAATCTGAGCTGTGCCCTTTACCTGCAGCACCTCCTTTTGTTGGAAGGAGGGCCAGGGAGTGGGCAGAGGAAGTCCAAGGTCAGTGTGAACAAACCTACAGGTTACGGCTGGGAGCCTGGCCCAGGCATAGCACTCACCGTAGGCTTGGGGCTGGAGATTAGGCCCGAGCTGAATCCTACAAGGAGTAGGATCTTAGGGGCGTGTGCTAGGGACAGGGAACTAAAACATACACCAAACCCCAGTCCTGAAGCCACGGAGCTGCCGGGAGACGTGTGACCTTGAGGAAGGGGGTGAGAGAATTAGAGAGGCGCCTAATCAGTCACCGATGTGACTCCATCTGGTAAGATATGGCCGAGAGGGAAGTGTTTATTTAATTTAAGGAAGATTTGTTGCCTTGAATTTTGAGCTCTGGGATTATTTATTTGCTTGTATTTCATTCTGGTCATTTGTGCTTTTGTGTTTGAAGAAGATACGTGAACTCTGATGTGGAGAGGTGAGGAGAGGAATTCAGCTCCTCCTGTACTTTAAGATTGTATGATGTGGGGGAGTTACCTCTGGTTTGTGAGTAGGTAGCTGTAGCATCTACATGCATATTCTGTGGCAGCGGGGGGGGAGGTGGTATGTGTGCATGTCCATGCCCATTTTGGCTCCGTGCACCATGATGCCTGCTGGGATCAGAAATTGCTCTCGAGTATCCTGTGAGCAACGGAGAGCATAAGGTGTAGAAACTGCGGGGAGCTCACGTGGCCCTGTGGCTCAGAAGGCTCCGCCCTCTGACTAGCACGGGATGTATGCTCACCGAGGTGTGCATCTGAGTTCAAATGAGTATGTGCGTGTGTGAATGTGTTCGTGTGTATGTGTGTGTGCATATGTGTGTGTGTGTGTATTTGTGTGTCTTTTCTGCCCAGCTGGCATGGCTCGGTGGTTGAGTGTCGACCTATGAACCAGGAGGTCACGGTTCCATTCCCGGGAACCATGCAAGGACACATGCCCATGTTGCCGGTTCAATCCCCAGTAGGGGGTGTGCAGGAGGCAGGCAATCAATGATCCTCTCTCATCATTGATGTTTCTCTCTCTCCCTCTCCCTTCCTCTCTGAAAATCAATAATAATATATTTTCAAAAAATAAAATCACCTCCAAGTCACAGGCAGCGAGGAAGGGGAGAGGGACCTCCTGAGCGGAGCTGCAGTGTGAGGTTCCAGACCAGGGAGTCCAGCGGGTCTCCAGGGGGTGAGAGGCCAGGAGCGAGGATGGAGAGAGGGAGGGCGGCACCCAAGACGCTTCCTGTAAGAGGAAGTGAGGCTGTGCCTCCAGCCCTTCTCTCCTCACATCTTTGCTCCCTGCCTCCCGGTGTCCTCTAAGGCTCAGCCTGGACAGATTCCTCTCGGACAACACGGTGTGTGAGTCATGTCTCGAGGAGGTGCCAGCCAGCTTCCAGGCAGCACATCCATCAGAGCAGCAGGCTGAGAGCAAGGGGAAGGCAGGCCTTCTCTCTGCATCTCCCTCTGCTCTGTCTCGTGTCCGCCTCGCTGCGGGGCACGTTCGTATTCAGGGGTCCCAGCCCTCCGAGGGCCTGGGAGGCCGTTTGTTAGAAGGACAGGACAGGGCCCCGCGGGGCGCTGGGTGATTCACAGATGGTGTTCTCTGCTTGTGGCAAAGAAACTGGCCGCCACCATAAGGCCAGTTAACTGTAGCGATTATTCCCTTGAAAGAAGAGTAACCACAGCATCGGCCTCGAGGTGGATGCGGGGGATGTGGTGTTCCACGGGCTGGGGCAGGAGCCTTTCCAATGTCCTTTTACAATCTGGGTTTGGTGTGAGGAGGGAAATGCCCTTGCGTGTGTGAAGGAGAAACGTAGTGTGCGTCCAGGAGCCGAGCACAGTACATGGCACGTGGCGAAGGTTCGATAAATGTGTGATTTTAAAAGAGGAAATGTATCCCAGCTTGGAGCTGCAGCAGTCAGGGGTTAATAGACTGGCAGGGCTTTGCTTGGGCCAAGCCGGCAACTCCAGCTTCACATCTTGATTTTAAGCAGATGGAGCTGAGTAGCTGGGAGAAAAGAAAAAGCACACGTGCGCACGCACGCACACACACACACACTCACACACACACGACTAAGATTGACACAGCTCGGGCTTCCCAGCTTGGAGCTGCAGCAGTCAGGGGTTAATAGACTGGCAGGGCTTTGCTTGGGCCAAGCCGGCAACTCCAGCTTCACATCTTGATTTTAAGCAGATGGAGCTGAGTAGCTGGGAGAAAAGAAAAAGCACACGTGCGCACGCACGCACACACACACACACTCACACACACACAACTAAGATTGACACAGCTCGGGCCGGCTGTTTGCAGAAAGGACCAGCAAGGGTCCCCGCCACGGGGTTTGGCCTGCTGAGCATTGGAAGGAGGCCTGATTAGATCTAAGTTAGCGCTCAGCCCGCTGGAGACTGGCTTTCTCCTCGTTAGACGGGGAGACGTTCTGATAAGACGGCTCTGATTAGAATGCCCTGGCAGTCGGTAATTTCCTCTCCTTGGACTCCCAGGCTCTTTGCGAGAGGTTTGTGTTTTTTCTCCTCTCTCTGTCTCTCCACGCATCACAAAGCCACGCCTTCCCCCATGGAGTGACCTTGGCTATTTCCCTTTGGGCACCTGTCCCGATGCTGCCAGTAAGAAAGTGGGTGCGTGGTCATCGCTGTCCTGCCTGCCCTCCCCTCCCCCATTCTCTAAACATTTCAGCCTTCCCACCAAACTTGCCAGCCTGGGACGCACACACCTTCCTGCGTCATTTCCAAAATAGCTGGTATGTCGCCCTGTGCTTAATCTGAACAGCGTCAGTTCCTGCAGACGTTCACTGAGGAATGCACGTTCATCAGTTATTAGCAACGACCCTCATTATATTCGGGGGGTGCGGGGCAGCCGGTCAGCTTCAAGCAGGGGGCTGGGGAGGGAGTCAGGTGCCCATCTCAACGAGGAGTGTGCTTGGAGACTGCCTCCAAAACTGCTGAGACCTGAGACATCTCAGAATCCAAGGGAGGACACTGGCAGGTGCCCCCAACTCCAAGGATGGGAGCAGTTGGACAACCGGAGACATGACCTGTCCCAGGCTCCCTCCATCTCTTCCTCGCCGGAAGCAGGGGTGTGCTCTAGCTCCTCTCCATCCCTCTGCCCCCCAGGCTCCTGGGCTCCTGGGACTTCATGGAGTTGGTGATCCTGGGTGCACAGCCCGAGGAGCGCCATCCCCCCAATCCCTCACCTTGCAGGTCAAGGGTCAGTCCTCCCTCAAGCAAGAAAAGAGGTCACTTCCTCCTCTGATGGGCATCTGAAGGCTGCGCTGTGACCACCCCTTCCTTTTCCCCTCCCCCGGGGAAAAGAGCACTCATGTAGTGATTGCGTGGTGTGCGTGGGAAGGCCACTCACCTGGGGCCGGCCGTCACTGGAGGTGGACGCTCTTGTGGAACGCTGGCCACATCCAACGTGAAGTCGGCTCCAGGAGGTCTTAAACCAAACCAGACTGTCTTGGGGCTGGAATCAGTTAAGACAAGCCAGGCACCTGTTGTTTGATTTTCTTGGAAGGCAGACAAGACCATTTGAGGATCTCAGAGTTTGCCAAGCAACATGCCAATTACCGGGCAGCGAGCAAAACGTCACTCCCTACAGCTCACTTTCCCTCACCAGCTGTTTCCCTGGTATCGCCGCTGCCTCTAATAAACGCGCTTGCTTTTACTGAATGCTTAATGTGCTCCGGGGCCTGCGCCCAGGAACGTCACGTGCACCATCCCATCACATGGTTACAGAAATGATGGAAGCCCACTTTACAGATGGGGAAACTGAGGCACTGGAGGGTTGAGTGACCTGGCCATCGTCAGCATGTAAGTCTGATTCCGGAATCCACGCCAGAGACTCCTGCTGCAGACCCAGGCACGGGGCAGGTCCGCAGAACTACCTGGGGAAACCCGGAACAGGAATCCTCACCGACTCCGCCCAGGAGGAAGGGGCTGTGGTCAGCTCCTCTTGCGATGGATGCCTCGTCTCCATGGAACGTGCTTTGGCTGGGGGTCGCTGCCCCACCGATGCTCGCCCTGAGCCCTGGGAGATGGCGATCGAGGAGCTGCGGGTCCTTAAACTGGGGAGAGGGAGATGCTGAGGATGCTCCCAGCAGTAGAGGCAGACATGCTCTCTGACTCATCCTGGAGGGAGGAGTTCTTCCCTCTGTGCACCGGAGCTTCCTAAGGAAAGCCCTTGGGGAGACTCAAGTCTGGGACCTTCCATGCTTGGTCACTGAGTGAATGGTGGACTCCTCTTAAAGGACTTACTAGTAACCAGGTAGCCATCAATAGGCAGGTTCCCTTCTCCCCTCCCCCACTTGCTGTTGGGGGATGGAGAGACAAGCCTGTGGCACCAGGGGAGGTCCCTTGGTCTCCTGAGAACAGGTAAGGGCTCCCCCACCCGGCTCTCCGGATCTCAGCTTCCCGCTGGTTGCCTTGGGAGAGCCCAGCTGTGTGCACCCTGCCCCCCGGGGCCCCCCTGAGTCTGTGGAGCTGAAGGAGATCCTGTTTTTCAGACAGGCCACCTGATGGCATTGCTGCATTTGCAATTTCCCCTGCATCCGGCGTCACCATGACAACCAGTGGCCAGCGGCGCAGTCATTATCAGGAGAGATGTGGACAGTCTCCTTGCCGTTGTTGGACTAGGAGGGCTCCCCCGTGTCCTCTAGTGAGCGTGTAGCATGACGTGGCCCAGAACACCCATGCGCAGAGCAGTGGAGGTTCTGGGCAGGTCAGAGTCCCTCGATCTCACAGCGCCAGGCATCACCAGGCTCCTCCCAGGTCAGGCCTCAGTAAGCTACCAAAGGTCAGAATAAATCCCCCATATTTCATAG